TACAAGCTGAAATTAATGAAAAATAAGTTAGACATGTTATGAACATTTAAACTCACCAGTGAGTGAAATAGAAGAGCAGAGAGTCGATCAGCAAACCTGATTCAGAATGGTTTGTTTTCTTCGTCTGCCAGGACCACCTAGGGCTCAATGTGCCATCCCAGGCTTCTTATAGAGCTACTAACCTTCCCATCATCCACAAAATGGGGAAATGACACAGAAACTAATTCCACAGAATAAAATTACATGATCAGATCTAGTTTGTAACCTGTGCTAAAATTACGAAAGACCAACGGCCCACATTACCATTTATGCCTGTCATGGCTGTGAAAGTTGCAACAACTCAGGGATAACTTTTCTGTAAAAAGTGGGGTCTAAAGTTCATTTGTGGCCCTCTGGGACTTTTCTGTAGCTCTTGATTGCAATTCTGAATTGTTTAAATTAGGTTTACCATTGATACACATTTAAGAAATATATTAGGGTGTTATTCTAATTTAGAAAAGAATGCAGCAAAATTACATCCTTCCTACAATCCCTCACACATGTATTCAAGTCAAGTCAGCTTTTATTGTCACTTTCTTCATATGCACAAGACATAAAAGGGAAATGAAATTACGTTTTTTCTCCATACCATGCCAGGACAAAACATATACAAGACTCACATTTACAGACTGACATAAAGTGCGGGACATGACAGGTAACAGTGATAGACTGATAACAACTGGTCAATAATAAATACAGTACAAAGAACATATGACATTTAACGTTAACATTCAATATTTAACATTGAACATGTAAAAGAAGATAAGATAAATATAGAGTATAGACATTACAATAAAAGCAATAAAAACAGCAGCAATAGTGTATTCCAGGCTGTGGTAGTGCAGGTAAGGTGCAGTCTCTGGTACAGTGTATGCGTGTGTGTGTGTGAGGTGTGTGTGTGTGTGTGTGTGTGAGAGAGAGAGAGAGATAGAGAGAGAGAGATTTTGAGATTTTAACAACTAATTTTTTATCAATAAATAATTTACATAGTATCACAAACTATGTAACAGAAAAATACAACAACAAAAAACAAACAGCAGAGAATATATTACATTAACACTTTTCCAAAAATGAGTTCTCCTCCTACCACACTACAAATTACTTTCCCATAACTCCAGATGTGACAGAAAGTATCTAAATCTGAAACTGATCTGTTGGGATCTGGAGGCTTGTCCACTTTCTCCACTAGAGGGCACCTGAGATCTTCCTCCTGAGGGCATGAGCTCACT